AAGGAAGGAAGGAAGGAAGGAAGGAAGGAAGGAAGGAAGGGACGGAGGGAGGGAGGGAGGGGCGAATAAGTGATGGAATTCTCCGACCTCTCCTTCGTGAACCCAGGTCAGCTCTGGCTGATTGCATCCGTCTTGCCAAAGGCCCTGGGGCGCTCCTGGGGTACCAGTGAATGAGCCGCCTACAGGCCAACCCGGGCAAGCCCAGGAGGGGCACCCACCAGCCACTGCCTGCCACCAGGGGCGGCACCGTCTTCCTGCCTCCACATGGCAGGGGCACAGCTGGGCAGAGGCGTGCCCCCTGCGCTAGGCACACCGGTGTGGTGTGACGGCACACTTCAGAGCACTGCCAAGACAACTTGGCCAGGTTTCCACAGCCTCCTACCTGGGCACCCAGCACAGAAGGGCCCCAAATGACCCCTTTCAGTCTTGGTCTTATAGCCTACACGTGGGGTAAGCAAGGTCCATGACCCCACCGTTGCACAAGGACAAAATGGACTCGAGGTCGATCCGCCTCTCTGGGAAGAGCAGTAGTCCTGTGACTTCCCGGCTCTTGGAAGCATCTGGAAGCGAGAGGAGACGGAGGCGAAAGGGTCCAGCGCCCCCCCTCCCCCACGGGCGACCCCTCCTCACCCTGTCTCGCCAGGACAGCGAGCGGGCACAGTGACCAGATCTTCTGCCCGGGGCTCGGCAGCGCGTCAGGTGTGAGAGTAAAGTCGGGGCGTTGTCCGCTCGGCCAGTCCCAGCCTGTGAAGCCGGGAGGTGTGGGAACCCAAGTCCTCAACCCCCGGCCACTGGGAAGACAGACCCAAAATCCTGACCTTCCGCCGGGAGCCACACAGCACGGGCACTGAGGGGCACAAGCCACAAGCAGTGGGGAGCGGGGGTTGTCAGGGAGGGCTTCTCTGTAAAGAGCCCCGAAGGCACCCCCGTTTCACAGGGTGTGCAGGTCCCTTAGGGGCACAACAGAAGAACGACCGCCCTCTCTGCTCCCTTGAGAAGCCAGCCTGCTTCCGTCACCCACGGCATCGGCTGCCCCCAGGGAGGCCACCCTCCCCCCTCAAAGACACACCCACCCGTGCGTCTGCCCTCAGAGACCCCCTCCTCCCACCCCCCCTGCCCCCGCATGGCCATGGGACTGAGGACCTGCAGTCCTGGAATCGCGGAGCTGGCCTGCTTCTGTACCACGGGGGCCCACCGACCGCCACCTTGCAGCCCAGCGGGCCCCGAGAAAGGGGCCCCCCGACTCTCCTGTCCGTCTCTCACCTGATTCTCCCGCGGCCCCAGTCGTCTGTCGCCCACCCCCAGCGCGGACGCCGTGTCCGGAGAGACCTCCGTGCATCTGGCCGAGGTCTTCTCCGAGAGGAGGAGGAAGTGGTCCCAACCCCCCTCCCCAGCGAGAGAGAAGGAGAGAAACGGAACGTAGTGGCTTCACGATCACATCCACCAACACCGAAGTCATCTGGCAGGAGACAACCCGAGCAGCTCGTCTCCCTGCCGGTCACGGGCAGTAGCGACTCACGAGCCTTGATCGCAGCCGCGCAGCCTTGCGGGAACGGCAGGAGACTCATGAGGCGAGGCCGACGGAGCAAGGCCGTCTCCCCCCAACGCCTCTGTGGGCGAGAGCGACAAGGCTGCCCGGATGGCGGCTGTGAGCGACGAGACCCTGCAACCGCTGCCACAGCTTCGCCACGCAGCGCTCGGCAGGTGGCACTGCAAACCAAAGCCTGGAGGTCTCCCTGCAGGCTCGGGGCCGGCTGCCTGGATCTGGCTACACGTGCTGGGCCCGGCAAAGGGTGCAGACAAGCTGAGCTCTTGCCCTGTGACCCAAGTGCAAACTTAGAGGCCACCCTTTAGGAAAACACAGCGTGGGGCGCACAAACAACAACAGAGACGGAGATGAACTTTGGTACGTTGACGCACGGTAGAAAGACCCATAAGCACACCTGCCGAACTTGCCCCAGAATCCGACCTCCACGCTGCGGTGCACGCTCGGGGGCAGGGCTCGGGACCCGTGCCCAGGCAGGGCACATGGGCAGCAGGCCGGCTCCAGCACAGATGATTCTCTAACCCCGCCAACAGGGCCCAGCTCTAAATCAGGGTCCTCGAGGGCATCTGACATCCTGCCCCTCACCGCTGGGCTGCCTTGAGGACCGTCTCTCCAGCGTCTGTTCACAGCCGTTTGTGAGCACACCCGTGCCCTGGGTCTTGCTCCTAACTGCAGGAGGACCCCCGCCCCTAGCGCAGGGTGCCCCAGAGACCCACTCCCACAGGCTTCCTCTCTCGGTGGCCTCGGCTACCCGTCTGCACACTCGGACGGCTGGCCGCCACTCTGCTGCCTTCTCATCACCCCAAATTAGGAACAGCCTGGTCACTACCTGCCAGGGCTCAGGGTCCCCCGCTTCCTGCTCATCTGTGTTTGCAATGAACTGAAAGTGAAGTTTTTGCGGTCAAACCGCACGATGCTCTGCCCCCTGGTTATGTTCCATCCTCTGTCCTGTCCCCCCACCTCCGAGTGTGCTCCCAGCCCACCCAGGTCACAGCTTCTCCACCAGCAACTGTGGCAAAGGCCGCAGTCGTCCCCCAAAACCCGCTCCACCGGCTCAGTCGAAACACCCCCAGTTATCTGGACACATGACACCCAACAGAAGGGCAGTTCCCAGACCCTGCGGAGCTGGGTACAGCCACGTGACTAGGTTCTGGCCAAGCGGATTCCGGTGGACAGAAAAAGGCCCAGGGTGACCCCATCCTAATCCTTAGAAGCTATGACTAAGTGACCCAACATGCAAAAGGGGACTTTGTGGGTGGGATTAAGGAAAGGATCTTGAGACGGGACGGCCACCCTGGATTTTCATGGGGGGACCCAATGTAATCATAAGGGTCCTTGAAAGGGGGAGGCAGGGACCAGAACCAGAGGTCAGGCACCCCACCCGCCTCGGCCAGGTCCAAGCCGATTCCCCAGGAGGCCAGAGGCCCCAGGCCACCCCACTGCCCCTCAGCCATGTTGTCCTCAAGGTCAATACAGGCTTATGCCTGATGATGCCAGAGCCTCTGACAACAGTGAAAACAGCAGAAAGCACTCAAGAAAACCGTCAACAGAGAAAACCAGAGAAGGTTTAGTATTCCACCACAACTTAAAAAAAGATATGAAATAATACCAATATAAAACATTGCATAGCAAATCACGTTTGTACAAAATCCAGTAAGAAAACATAATTTTATCATTTAAGATGATTCATAAAATACACTTTGCTGAGAAGCAAATCAACATCATAAACAGTGACGATCTCCCGAGCACAGCAGAGAGACACGAGCCCCGCGCTTCTCGGCGCCGTGCCCTCGCTGAGGACGCCCGCAGGGCTCGCCGCGTGGCTGGCGCCGAAGTAAGAGCGGTCAGGAGCACGGCGCCCCCTCCACCCTCGGCCATGCTCACCAGTGGCCCCGGCAAGGCACGAGGGGAGGAGGGCCCGAGGCAGGGCACGAGGGGAGGAGGGGCCAGAGCACGTGAGTCTGTCCCCGTGCTGCGGCAGGAGGGCCGTGCCGGCCCCTCCGGCCACCACTTCACTGGTAGGTGACCTTCACGCAGAAGGCCTCTTCGTTTTTGTCTTCGTGGTCGTTGATGTAAATCAGAATCTCTTCTTCCCCGGTGCTCTGGCGAGATGCAAACCGCAGGCCGATGGTGTAGGTCTCTCCTCCCCCAACCTAGACGCACACGCAGGTAAGCATCAAATCCTAGCCCCACCCCAGCCACTACTCTCTCTATTCCGGCAAGTTCTACATGCGCAACCCCAGGCTGACGGAGGATGTTAAGCTGAGGCTCCAGCCCCGGGTGCAGGGCGCGTGCGGGGCCCCCAGGCACCAGATGTTCCGAACTCCTTTCCCAGCGTCCCCAGCCACACCTGCTCTTCCCACGTCCCGGGGGACACTTCCCGACTGAGGAAACACCCTCCCCTGGCCGCCAGGCTGCCAGCGCCGTACTTGCCTTGAAATACCCACAACGGAGGAAAGGCTAATTTGCAGGGCACTTACAGATGAAAGCGCTGATAAACTGAGGGCAGGCTGGCCACCAGAACCCCCACAACGGTGCCCAGATAGGGGGGCCCTAGACGCACAGGCAGAAGAGCTCAATGAGGGGTGTCCACTCCCCCCACCCCAGTTCAGAACGGCTCTGCTTCCTCCCGGGCTCTCAAGACCGTCACTGGATAGAAATGCTCCTAAACGCGGTGCTCACCTCACACCGCAGGGTCCGAGGGGCCCCCACACAGCCCCCCGCCCCGCGCCCGGCGTTGCGCACCTGGAAGGACTCCTCCCTGAACTGCAGCAGGTCTGGGCGGTCGCTGAGCAGGCGGTAGGTCCTCGGGGTGGGGTAGGGGTTGGTGTAGGTGATGCGCTTGTTGGCGCCCTTGCCTTCCCCTGCGGCCAGCGTGATCTCGAAGGCCTGTGGGGGCGAGGACAGTCACCCTTCCCGACCCGGCTCAGCTCGTGCGGCCCAACTTAGGGCACGTCCACGAATACGACAGATGGGGGCTCACCGTACAGGAGCAGCCCCACTGCCACCCCCAGGCCACAGGCAACAGAGAAGGCAACCCCCGCCTGAGAGCGGGTCGTAGGACCAGGTGACAGGTGACGAACCACCCATACCCTGTGGCCCAGCACATTGCCCCCTCCCCCACTGACCTTGGAAATGAGAGGAGGGCGGCACGAGAGGCACACGAGCCACGAGGCCACCAGCTGGTGGTAGTCCACATCGACCAGGTTGAGGTGGATGAACCGGGTCCCCGCCCTCCGGGGCGTCACGCCCACATGCAGGTCCTGCACCCCGCGAGGGGGCAGCACGAACACACCTCTGGGGTCAGTCTTCGAGAGCAGAAGAGAACCGGGTCAGGACACGGCCCCTCGCGCTGTGCAGACCAGGGCTTCCTGGACGCCCGCGGCGCAGGGAACGAAGGGAATCCGAAGGGAATCCCAAGGGAACCCCAGCCGTTCCGGGGTGGGGGGCCCATGTGCCCTGCACGAGGTCAGCAGGGGCCCGAGGGACAATGCCAGCCTCGCCCTCGGCATCACGGTGCGGCACGGTCCACATCGCCACCCATGCGGGCAAGTGCCCCCGTGTGTGACGGTCCCCTGAGCACCAGGGCTGCCCCGGCAGGGGAGACCTCAACGAGCTCCTCTCTCCACCCTGGCAAGAGGCAGGGAGTCCGCACAGCCCCCGTGACCCAGATTCTAAATTAACTGCAGAGTCGCTTTTAACATTTACCTTCCACCAATCCTAAATATCGGCCTTTGGGGTTTCTAGGTCACTCATCCAGGATGGCGTATCTACCAACCTGAATGAAGACGGCCAAGCCCCAAGCCTGTTCTCGGGACTCAGGCTGGCTGCAGCCAGTCCCCATGCCGTCCGTTCCCAGGGTGGGGTGAGGGTGAGGAGAGGCCAGAGAACACCCAGCGACCTACTGTCAGCTCCTGGGGGTGTGAGGTGAAAGCTCGCACTCTCCTAACCGCCTGTGTCCCCCGAAGGACAAGGGACAGGCGGGTCCGCTGGCCTGTGACGCAGGACACGTCCACGCGCTGTAAGGAGTGGAGGTGGATCTGCCATATTTGGACAGGTGTCGCCAGCCAGCGATCCCTGTGCGGGACGGAAGCACCAAGCGTGAGAGGGAAGCCAGTAGGAGGCCGACAAGGTGGCCAGGAGGACAGGGGCCAAGGGGACAGGGTGGAGCCCGGCCGCTGTCACGTTCACACCACTTGGACTCTCCACCACGACACCCTGCACGAATGACGACGTGGGCTTCTGCCAGAAATCAACAATCCCAAACCAGGGGGTCTGGGGCGAAGCGTGTAACATGGAAGTGCATGTGGGCCTAGAGGCCACGCGGGCCTGGGCTCGAGGGCCCCATCCCAGCTGCCTGGGGCTACAGGACACGGGCCCTTCCTGTGAGTGGGGCTCAGGAGCGCTGCCCCTTGTCCACATAGCCCGAGACGGGCCCTGAGCTCAGTTAGCCCTGCCCCAGTCCCGGACGTGCTATTCGAAAGCCCCCAGCCGGCCCCAGTTTTAAAAGGTCCTCAAGGGGTTGGGATAGGAGACTTCCGAAGAAAAGGTAAAGGAAAAGGGTCATTTCGACTGAGTGAGAGAAGCAGGAGGTGGTGTGATCACCATCTCAGGCATCGAAGGACAATGGCCGCCACCTCCCGTCTCCCCTCGTTGGAACCAGGCACCGTTCTAGCGCAGAGAGCACCTTGGAGGGCTCTCTGTGCGTCCCCCAGGCTGCCGGTGCCTCTCTGAGCAGAGGGCGCCCTTTGTGAGGCTCCTGCCAGTCCTGGAGTCTCACCTCCCGTGACCAAAGACCCGACAACGACCCCCGTCAGGAGCTCAGGAAGGCCTGGGCCGGCCCTTCCAATGCCAAAGCCAGAAGTTTCTCACCCACGCCCGCCCCTCCAGACCTCCAGGGTTCAGGTTCTCGGACTTACGTGTAAACGAGGACAAAGAAGTCTTTGCTCTCTGGGCTCCGACCACTAGCCACCTTCAAGAACACGTCCCGTGGCTCCCCAGGGCCCTGCCAGACACGGGCACACCCTAAGGACACTGCCTGCCTGCCCACTCCGAGCCCAGCCCCCTGAGCCACACGAAGTGAAAACAGGCATGAACCAGGCTCCCTTCCCCCCAACAGGTGTTTAATTTTCAGTATTAGTCAGAATTCGCTATCTTTTTTTACTGCCAAAAAGAAAATCATTAACTTCTCGATTTCATATTGAGTTCAATAATTATATTCTGCAGGAGACTTTATCCAGTTTCCTAACCAGTCATAATACAATTATTGCCATTATTCTTTACACAATGGCAATTAATAAGTGGTTTAATTACCACTCAATCTATTCACTCTGCTTCACGCCTTTTTTCTTTCATTTAAATTCAGATCATCAAAGAGCTGATCTACTAGCAGAAGAGATGAGAATTCATGCATAAAGCTCCCACAAGGATGTCCAAATAGCCCTTGAGCACCTGAGAAACACACCACTTAATGGAAACCTCACAATGAAGAGGCCGCAGGAGGTCAGGGGCTTGGACGACAGGAGGAGGGCTGGCTGGGAGATGGGCTAAGCGGGACTTACCACATTCTGGGTCTCACAAATGACATTCGGGTCACTACATCGGACATGGACCTGGGGTTCCTCGCCAGGTCTTCCCACAGGAGCACCTGGTGAGGGGGATCATCCAAACAAACATCTTGGGGAGCCCGGGTGGCTCGGCCGGTTGAGCGTCTAACCAGCTCAGGTCATGAACTCACAGCTCTGTGAGTTGTAGACCCGTGTCGGGCTCTGTGCTGATGCCTCAGAGCCTGGAGCCTGCTGTGGATTCTGTGTCTCCCTCTCTCTCTGCCCCTCCCCTGCTCATGCTCTGTCTCTGTCTCTCTCAAAAATGAATAAACATTAAAAAAAAAAATCTTTTCTAGATAGGCCTGGCCCGTCACAGGGGCTCAAC